GCACTGCTGTGACAATTCTGCAGGTCTCAGCCCAATGTGCAGGTTGGCCTGGGAGGAGCTGGGGGGCTTGCCTGCTGCGTGGCCCCATGGCCCTATATCTCAGTGATACAGTGTTGTGATGGAGCCGCTGGCCCCACAGCTCCTCTGGCCCCACTGGGAGCTAAGCATGGGATGGCATTAGCTGTGGGTGCACATGGCTTAGCGCCCTTCTCACCCCTCCCAGCACAGCAGCCATATGTCCTCAGCTCAGCATCCCAGCCCTTCCCTTGGGGGGGCCCAGCAGGGACCCGGTGACCCCGCAGAGAGAATTTTTCCCCTCCTTTTGCCTTCAGTGATCTTTGAGCCCAGGCGTCGTATGACTCAGCTCCTGCATTTGATACCCCCGAGAAGAGTTTGCACACATGCATCTGTGGCACAGAGCGCTGCCTGTTCCTGGCAGGCCATGAGAGGATTGGGTTTCTTCCTGAAACAGGCACTAAGTCCCCGCTCCTCATCCGCTTTTGATATGCGGAAGTCGGACTGAGCCGGGATGGTGCCAGCGGGTCGGGGCGTCCCCCCAGCACCTCCACCCGCCCCAGCATCCCAGCACCCATGGGAGCACAGGGAGCACACTGCGGTGCGAGGCCGGTGTTCAGATGGACGCCTGCACTGTGGGAATCCTTCTGTTTCCCGTCCCTACCTGTGCCAGCAGCTCTGTGTACGTGGAGTGCTGGGGCCTGGCAGTCGGCGCTGGGCAGTCAGCAGAAGTTGACACCGATGCCGATCCCATGAAGGGCAGTTTGGGCGCTGACCTTTAGGTCCCGCCTGCTGCCTGTGAGCAGCTCGGCTCTGCTGCTGCTCCTGGAGCAGCTGGGAGCACTATGGGGTGTGCGGGGTGGCTGCGAGCTGCCCCGTGCATGTCTGGGCAGTGCTGTGGGTTCAGGTGGCTGCGGGGCTGCTGTTCCCAGTTGGGTTTTCCCAACATGCGTCGGCCACGGCCCGCGGAGCCCTGTCGCGCTCAACCCCGTCCCCATCAGGTTCCAGTTAAAACCAAATGCATTCTCCAGCCTAAGCTGTGCTGCAGCTTAAGCCCTTCCAAAAATGAAACAAATACCCACGGACTGCAATTCGAATTGCAGCTCAATTAGGGCTCGTTCCCAATGTGATCATAAAACCTCCAGTACGAAAACAAACAACCCAACCAAACCACATCGAAGCCCGACAGCATCCTCCGGAATGCCTTTAAAATAACAAGGAGGGGGGAGGAAGAGGGGGAAAGGGGGAGATGAAAGCGCCGTGCCCGGTGGGCAGCGTGAGGGCAGCAGGTGTGTGGCAGCGGTGCCGGCAGCGGTGGGCACGGGTTGGGGGGATGCTGCGGAGGGGAAGGAGGGCTGCGGGTGCAGAACGTGGGGTGAAGGATGGGAGGGCACGGGACGCATTGCAGGGCGGTGGAGGTGCCCGGAGCGGCGCGGGTCGGAGCCGGCCACGGCCGCTGGAATGCGTCCCCCCCGTCCCCCTGTCCGGCCGCATCCAGCCAGGCTGGTGCCGCGCTTCGGGTTTCAGCGCGGCCGCTAAGCCCGGCCATATTTAGCGTGAGCTGCTCGGCCCGTCGGGGAGGGGAAGCCGCAGAGCAACTAATAAAAAAAGCCAAACAAAAACAATGTAATTAAAGAGACTCAGCACTGTGTGTTCCCATAGCAAGAACATTTACCCAAGACTTCCTCACTCAGATACTTCATGTCAAGCAGCAATTAAGGGCTGCACTGCAGAAGCACAGAGCGTTTGCCCTCAATGGAGGCAGGACGGGGCCGAGCTGCCCCCCACGGCCCCTCAGGGCAATCTGCAGCACCCACACCTCGGCACCTTGGATGTGCCAAGGCAGAAACGCAGCATTTCCAGGCACTGGAAGAGAAGGGAGCAGATCCTGCCCTGTGGTGCCCAGTGCGGAGGGGCAGCGTGTTGGCACACAGAGCAGCAGCACCCACTGCCCTTACGGCTGCAGTGGAAGCTCATGGGTGAGCGAGGAGCTGGAAGTCTAATTGCAGTCATCCATTACTGGGAGTTAAGCCACAGGCTCCTTCTGGGCTCATTAAAAAACCCTGATCAGAATGCTTAATTAAAACAAATAAATAAATAAACAATGCAGGGGGAAAAAAAAATAAAATAAAAACCCCTAAAGAAACGTCAGCAGCGCGATTGTGTTGCAACAGAATTTGCTTGAGTGTCTCAGCTCCCTTCCTGCCCCAAATTTACTGCTCGGCTGGCGGGAGCGGTGTGTTTTATGGGAGGCCTCCTGTGGCTGCCAGCAAGTGATCTTCTTGGTTGGCTCCAGACCCTTCTCAGAGTCCCGGCGTTTTTGCTGACCTGCAGGCTCCATCTCTCCCGGCCTCAGAGCGCGTGCCGTGGGAGGTCCCAGCATCCTCACTGCGCTGTGCTCTGCCTGACGGAACACGGGAGCTCCCAGGGCACGTCCTTGTGCCTGGCTCTATAGCTGTGCAGGGACACCCTGCTCCTCCCGGCGCTGGGCTGACAGCATCGGGCTTCTGGAGCCCAAGCAAAAATGTCCTGGTGGGAATGGGATCTGTATAAGTTGGTTGTTATTGCTAAACAAAAGAGGCATGCTCGTTTCGGCTCCATTCAAAACAAAACCCGGTGCGTTTGCCAAGTGGGAAAAAGAGAAAATCTGTAGGACACAAACAAGCAAAGCCCTATTGCTTGTTTGCTGCCTTTCCCTGGACCCAGGTTTCAGTAAGCAAGTGCATTTTCCAGGCATGCAGATGTTTCCATCGCACACAGCAGTGTTTGGCCCAACAGTGCAGGCAGAGGCAGCCCGGCCGTTGGGGGTTCTCCATCCTTGCAGGCCTGGTCACCACCCAATTCTGCGCAATACTTAAATACCTTTGGGGTGCGTGCATGTGGGAAACAGGGCTCTGATGTGGCGAGCAACCTCTGTGCTTCCCTGGGGTTGGGCAGCAATGGCAGTGCTTGCGACTCGCCTGGCCAGCAGCAGAGCAGCACGTTGGCTCTAGGCTGGAGCCCAGCGGCGCTCCAGGTGCCTGGTTGTGAAATCCTCCATGTGCAGGTGGCTGGGGCACGCCGTTCCCAGCAGCACTGCCGCCAAGCAGGGATGCCAAGCGCAGAGCTGTGTCCTAGGTTTGAGGCTGCCTGTGGGTGGGTTATGAAATCCCACTATTTTGGAAGGGAGCTCACGCTCCGGTTTTGATCCATTCTCTGTTTCTTCAGTCCTGAAAAATTGCTTGTGCTCAGGCGATGATAGTGGAAAATGCAGGTGCTCTCTGAGCCCTTTGGCAGTGGTCTGCACGCCTGCCCTTGGGCAATATTCTGGCTGATACTTTGGTGCCAGCTCCCATTCTGGATGCTGGCTGATCCTTTGGTTCCAATCTCCCAGTTCAGGGTGAGGTTGGCCGCATAGGGTTGGCAATTCCCTGACAGCTGCTCATCGGTCTTCTGCCCCGCTTTGCTTGCTCCTTTGCTGGGTAACCTCGAGCTGGGTTTGATAGTGGTTCAGGAAAGCAGCCCTGGCACTCAATGCAGACATCCCAACAGTGTCCTCTGCACCAAAACCTCCCCCATGCCACGCAGCCACAAGAAGCCCTGCAGGATCCCAGCCCCTGTCTCTTTGCCACCCCAAGCCACAGCATCCCTTAAAAGAGTTAACTCCTCCCCACCTCTGTCTTTTGAGCTCCTTCTTCTCAGGATGGAGCAGCCCCATCCAACATGGACTGGTTCTCTGCTGGAGCCCGGGCAGCCCACACCCTTCAACAAAGTGTGCTTAAAATTGTATAATTACAGTAATTATTAACACTATTTTCTGGGCTGAGATCTGCAGCACTGCGAACAGGAAAACCCAGAACATGCAGAGACTATGGCACTGTAAACCACCCAGTGGAAGAGAGTGATAAAAATGAAGCCATGCTGAGCACAACCATCCTCACACGCTGTGAAAACCATTGTGACTGCACCCGCGACCTGCCGACCCCGGGGCAACCCTCAGCTGAGCAGCAAGGCCTGATTGCAGCGGGGATAAATGCAGCTGAGCTGCAGCAAGGAGCTCATTGCTGTGGCCCTGACCCGGTGCTGCATGCCCACAGCACGCAGCCTGGCTGCTGAGCACGCTGCTGCGGCCGGTTGTAACTCGTGGGCGTTGTTTGCAGCTATCAGTTGCTCCACCGCAGAGTTTAGCTCTAGATAAATCAAGGCCCTTTCACTGAGTCCTGATGACTCACAGCCACAGGGCACGGAACCCTTTTATCTGCGCCGCCGCCAGTTTAATATAGACAGAAGTTCACTCCGGAGCTCAGAATCATTTCCGTCTCTTTACTTCTCATTAGAAGCAAATCAGATGAAGGAAAACAGTGAGAAATGTCCCTGTATCTCCTCTGTTTCTAGTGTCTCGGAGATAATTGCCTCCAAACTGTGCATTCTGCCTGCGCTGGGTCGTTTGCCTTCTGTTTTAGTTGGCAGAGGAATGTGCTTTTGCTCTCAAGTGCCATTCACTTTAAGCCGCGGTTCTGTGGGCACGGCTGCCTGCTCCATCCATGGAGACCTCTCAATCCGTGGGCTGAAGCCGATGAGATGAGAGGTGGGCTGGAGCCAGCCTCCTCATCACACCGCTTTTAGACGCCACGGTCATAAAAGGTGAAATGAGAGGACTTTGGCAGCCTACTGAGGAAATAGGATGGCAGAGGGCATGTAGCAATGTCAGTGCTGATATCCTGCCTTCTCGGTGATGGCTTTGTAAACACCATCGCCTCAAGTGCAGCTCTGCAGTACCACTGTGCCACAACCTGCCAGACTGCTGCAGGGCTTTTGCTGTGCTTGTTCCTTGCTTGGTGCTTAAAATCAGAGTGAAGTTAGGTTCAGAAGCAGAGGAATGGCTGTTGAGCGCTGGAGACGGGTTGGGGCTCCGGCTCTCCTGGGTCACGGCTGGTGCGGGTCCCGGTGCCTGCTGCCATGTCCTGCTGGCTGGGTGCTCACTGCCTTCTGTCCCCCGGCCCCAGGTCATCGTCCCCTAAAATGACGCAGCAGATGCGGGACCTGCAGCTGGCACAGGCCAGGAAGCCACCGGGCCCATCCTCCCCAAATGCGGCCAAAAGGCTGTACCGAAACCTCTCGGGGAAGTTCCGTGTCAACTACACATCCTTCGATGAGGGCAGCCTGGCGGGACGGGGCGAGAAGGAGAAGCCCCGCAAGTCCTACCTGGTAAGAGTCACTGTCCCTCGGAGGAGGGGAGAAGGGGATGGGAGCACTACGGGGGCCATGAAACCCATGGGTGCATGGAGTGGAGCTGTCAAGGAGTGGTACGATCACTCAGCACTGTCAGCTGTGTCTCCAAAGGCCTCCTGTTGGCATTAGGGGTGTTGGGGTGCAGGAGGCTGCTCCGTGCCCAGCCGAACCGCGCGTCTTCCTGCATCCAGTTTCAGAGCAATGCTGCTCTCTTTGAGGCCGTGGAGCTTCAGGACCTGGACAGGGTGCAGGAGCTGCTGAAGCAGTACAGCCCTGAGGAGCTGGATCTCAACACTCCCAACAGCGAGGGGCTGCTGCCCCTGGACATCGCCATCATGACCAACAACGCGCCCATCGCCAGGGCTCTGCTGCAGGCGGGAGCGAAGGAGAGCCCGCACTGTGAGTTGCCTGGGGACAAGCAGAGGCAGTGGGGACAGTGGGGACCTGGGGACAGTGTCCACCAGGACAGCTTTGGGTGGCCTGGTGGACTTCCTCCCATTCCTGGGGGGATGTGTGTGTGGTGGGTGGGAGCAGGCTGTGCTGCACCCCAGTGCTCCAGCTTGGGCAGCAGAGCCCATTTTTCATGCTGTGCACGCCATGGAGCAGTTGGGGATGGTGCTGGCCCCACATTTCAGAGCAGGGAACCAAATGGTAATGGTGCCGTGGGGGCAAGGAGCCCAAGTGCATGCAGCAGAGATGCTGCCTCAGGGCTGGGCTTTGTTGCCAGCACAGAGGTGCTGCTCCCAGAGGTGCTGCTCCTCACCACCCTCCCCTCACCTCTTTCCCATCCCTCCTGCCCTCCCCTCGGCCCCTATGCAGTTGTCAGCCTGGAGAGCCGCTCGCTGCACCTCTCCACGCTGGTGCGGGAAGCGGAGCAGCGCGTCAATGAGCTGACAGCTCAGGTGGTGAACGAGGCCCCCAGCGCCGACTGCTCGGAGAAGGAGAAGCAGCTGAAGGCCTGGGAGTGGCGGTTCCGGCTGTACAAGCGCATGAAGGCAGGGTTTGAGCACGCCCGTGAGTCCTGCTGAGAGCTGAGGAGGGAGTGGGGCCGTATGGGGGCTGGAGAGGAGGTGTGGGCTGCACTGGCTTGCTATGCAGTTGCCCCTGGGTGGATGGTGGGGTTTGAAGTGGCCACTCTCACTGTAGTCATCCCTTGCATTCTCTTTCCCCAGGAGTGCCAGACCCTCCTGCTAACGTCCACCTTTCGGTGGCCAGCAGCTCCTCAGTGCAGGTGACCTTCTGTGAGCCCCTCAGTGTCAACTCGGCCGTCGTCACCAAGTACAAGGGTAAGGACCTGGTCCCCATGTCACTGCTGAGCACGTGGCGACAGCAAGCATCCTGGGTGTGCGAATGGGATGTGATGGGGGCTCACTCTGCGCACGCCATGCTGCCTTGCAGGGGGCTGCTGAGCCCCCACTGAGCTGTGGCACAGCCCTGGCACTCTGTGGCATGGCACGTCCTCCAGCCAAACAGCCCAAGCTGGATTAAATCACCCACCTGAACCAAAGCAAACTTCAAGGTGCTGCTTGTTTTCTACCCTCCTGTCCTGCAGGCACATGGCTTTGCCATGCTTGTGCTCCTCTGAGCCATAAAACCACGGTATCTATCACAGCACAGTTGGGGTGGAAGGAGACTTGCAACCCCCCCAGCCCCACCTCACCATGGACTGGCTGTTCCCCACCCACCCAGCTCAGGCTGCCCAGGGCACACCCGTGGCCATTGGCACCTGCAGGGATGGGGCACCCACAGACCCACAGCTCTGGGCAGCAGTGCCAATGTCTCACTACCCTCTCGGTAAAAAATTTCCTCCTCGCATCCAAACTACATCTCCCCTCTTTTAGTTTAAAACTGTTCCCCCTTGTCCTGTCACCATCAGTCTGGGTCCTGCCAGAGCAGTGCCCAGGTCAGGTTTGCATCTGCTCCTGTGCCCCTCACCCATTTAAAAAGATACTTTGGCTTTTGGGAAAATCCCTCCCATCAGCATCGCTGGCTTGTGGCCCACCGCTCACTCATCAGTCTGTGTCCCCTGGCTTTGGCTGGTCACTCCCCTGTCCCCTCCCTCCTCTCCTCTGGTGCTCCATGGATGCAGCACCTCGAGGTCTCTCATTGCAGTGGAGTGGAGCTGCTCCCCCTCCTTCTCACCGCTGGCTGGGGAGGCTGTGGTGGACAAGCTGAAGAGCCTGCACTACACTATCCGTGGGCTGACCTCGGTGAGTTGGGGGCCGGGCTGTGGGGGCAGCAGAGTGCAGACAGACTTGGAGCCGGGCTCTGTGTGTGGGGCAGGTGGACATGATGGCAGCTTGTTGGGCAGGGGGACGGTGGCAGAATGAGGGCTTGGGGGGGGGGATGGGAGAAGTGGAGAATGGGAGCATAGGAAGGGAGTTTAGCACGTCCTGCTCTGGGGTAGAGAGGCACTGGTGGGTTCAAAGAGTGGGATGAAGCCTTCTATGAGGTATGGGGTACTGGGACAAGCCAGCAGCGCCGTGGTCTGGGAGCTGCTGAAGGACAGCACGGGGCAGAGCCCTGGGCAGGGAGCATGTTCCAGCCCATCCATCACATGTGCAGTGATGCTGGGGGTAGTCAGACTGGGTACCAGGCTGTGAGGTCCAGTTTTGTGCTCCTTGCCATGTTCTGAGGTTCCTCCCCACCTACCTGCCCCATATGCTGAGTACCACCATCCTGAGCACTGTTTCCCCCGCAGGGCACAGCTTACTATGTCCAGGTGTCTGCCTACAACATGAAGGGCTGGGGACCCCCACAAGCCTCAGTGCCCCCATTTGCCATCCCTTCCAGTAAGTACAGCACCTGGCTGTGGGATGGGGCAGGAGGGGGAGCTTTGGGGATGAGGTATTAGGTCTCGTGGAGCAGGGGTGGATTCAGAGCTGGATTCAACATTTGGAATTTGCTGATTGGCCCTGGAGTGTGCAGAGTGGCTGTGGGGCTCAGCCATAGAGCCATCAGCGCTGCCTTTTGGGGGATGCTGCCTCCAGCCTTTGGGATCTCTTATACATTTGCACACACACTGATGCATAAATGGGTTGCCCAGCTCTTGCAGCATGCTGGCTGTGCCCTGCCCTGACAGCAGGCATTGTTGATGTTTGCTCCCTTGCAGTCCTTTTGCTGTCCAACACAGGTCAGATCTGCATGGTGCAGATACAGAGTGCAGCTAAAATGAATCAGACATAACTGATTTTTCTTGCTTTTATCTCCATTAATATTTCTCCCCTCACCAAGGATCCCTCCCCAGCAGAATATAGTCAGGCACCTCCCTGGGTGTTTTTAAAGCTCCTAAAAATAGTGGCCAACCTCAACTGAAGTTAACAGAGCTGAACTTTCCATGGAAAACAGCAGCAGGCAGGATAGGGGGTGTGCAAAGCAATTAGTGTACAAATGTCATTGCCCCGTCCTGGTCCCACGGAGCTCAGCCGTGTTACCTGGGAACCCCATGCTCAGCTGCAGCTCCAGGGAAGACTTGGAGAAAGGCACTGGAAAGAGTTTGATTTTTTAAGCCCTGTGAAGAGTGGCAGCAACAGACAGGGCCTTGTCTCTGACCTCTGCCATCCCCCCTCTGCAGGACAGCTGGTGGCCCTGGGGTGCTGCTGCTTCAGCTTCCTCTGCCCCATTTGTGGCAGCACTGCCCCCAGGGTGGCTCTTGGTCCCCAGATGTGCTGCATGTCCTGGTCCTGCTGCCTGGGGGAGGACGGTGGATCCTCAACATATGGCATGGTTTGGGCTGGGGGGACCTTACCCATCTGGTTCCAACCCTGTGGGCTCCCATAGAGCAGACTGATCAGGGCCCATCCATGGCCATTGGCACCTCCAGGGATGGGCACCCATAGCTCTGGGCAGCAGTGCCAGCACATCACCACCCTCTGAGAGAAGAATTTCCTCCTTACATCTTGCCTAAATCTCCCATCTCTTAGTTTAAAGCTATTCCCCCTTGCCCTGATAAAAGAGTTCCTCCCAGCTTTCCTGTAGTCTCCTTTAGGCGCTGGAAGGCCACTGTAAAGTCTTCCCAGAGCTTCCCCTTCCCCAGGCTAAACCCCCATCCCTCACCTGTCCCCATAGCAGAGGTGCTCCATCCTCTGACATCCCCACGTCCTCCTCCATCCCCTCTCCAACAGCCCCACATCCCTGTGCTGGGGCCAGAGCTGGACGCAGTACTGCAGATGGGGCCTCAGAGAATGCAGCAGGGGAGACTCCCTGTCCTGTTGGGGTACCAGGGATGGGGCATCCCCACAGCGAGGGTTGCATGGGGGTAACACTGATCCTGTCCCTGCAGACTGGCGGGAGTATGATGGCCGGGCTCCACGACGGAGAGGCCAGGCTGAAGCTCTGGACCATCTGCTGGGCCAGGTGAAGACCGTCCACCAGCACTGCATTTGCCACGGTGAGCCTGCAGCACGGCGTGGCCCCCCATGGTGTCAGTCAATATGGCACAAAGGGTTTGGATGGCACATGGGAATGGGGTGGGTGCAGCAGGGAAGCATCTCAGGCAGGGGAGGCACAAGAAGAGCCCACAGATCCTTCGCCTGGGCTTCCAGAGCTGCTCTTGTTCTCATGCCTCTGCTTCCTGCCTCGCAGAGCCCTGCAAGAACCAGCCCCAGAGCAGGAAGCACTCGGTCTCCAGGAGCCTCAAGCACCTCTTCCACCCCGGCAGCAAGTTCCTCAAGACACTGAAGCGGTGAGAGGCTCATGTGCAGGGATGTCACAGCCCTTCACCCCATGGGGACATGGGACTACCCAGCCAGGGCTCAGGATGGGTCCCATGCCATCATGGGGACCAATCCCATCTCTTGGAAATCAAATGTTTCCACTTGGACTGGTCAAGCTGTGCCTCTATTCAAATCTCTATAACATCTCCATGCCCAACACCTCACCGTCCTCCAGACCCTGCCACCCTCCCACCTTCATGCTTCAAGCCTGTCCACACCTCCCTTGCTCGTGTCAGACATGGTGTTAGCCAGGCTGACCTTGCTGCCCATGCAGGTTCCTGGTCCTGCTGCCGCTCTCCCACGAGTGCCTTTTCTGCTGCACTGCCTACGGGGTGCTGGAGAGGAGCTCAGACCCATGGACACCTCCTCTGCCCTCCGGGGAGACACTTTGGGAAGCAGTGCCATGGGTGACCCCACAGCTTGTCTGTCCTCCCATGCAGGGGCCTCTACCTAACAGCCATCTTCTACAAGGACGACAACATCCTGGTGACCCACGAAGACCAGATACCGGTGGTGGAGATCGATGACACCTACTCCTGCCTGCTCATGCAGGACTTTCTGTGGTTCACCAAGGTAAATGGCCCCATGGTCTCGTGCTCTGCGCTGTGGTGTGGCAGCTGTGCTTGCAGCCTGTGTCTCCTCCCTCAACTGCCACCAGCCCAGGCACTGGTTGGATGGTGGCAGCCACCACACTGGATGCTCTCCAGGGGTGTCTTGAACTGCAGGGTGCCTTCCTTGAAGCTTCATCCTTGGTTCTGCCTCTCCCATGCAGAGTAGGATGCTGCTGCCTGAGCCTCTGCTCTCACTAAAAAGGCGGGTGGGCAGCTCAAGCACAAAATCTCTTGCTGGAGGATTCTAATCTACCAAGAGAGAAAGAGGGAGCACACCCTCTTGGCAGAAACCTCTTTAGGAGGGGTGCCTTCGGTGTAAGAAAATGCACCCCTGCTGCTGAAAGTGATCCGTGCACATGCACCTTCCCATCCCAGCGTGAATCGCGAGGAGGTTTTCCTCAAAGCACTTTTGTGGGAGGTGGCTCAGCTGGGTTGCTGGCAGTGATGGCTGCTGCTTGTGCTGCAGGTGTCGTGCATGTGGGACGAGATCCTGTGGCTGAGACAGTGCGTCACCGTCTCCCAGTCATCCTGCTCCTGCATCCTACAGACGCGCTTCAAGATGCTGCTGGCCATCTCGCAAATGCAGGTGAAGGTGGAGGGGTGGGAGCGAGAGCAGCACTCTGTCCCTGCTGCCTTGCAGGGCGCTTTTTGGGGGTGCTGGGAGCTGGCTCCTTTGGAGCAGCATGTGGGAAAGTCCCCAGTGCAACCAGGTTGCAGCTGGGCCAGCAGGAGCAGGTGATGCCATCACCTTGTCATCACCAGTGGGTCCCCTCACGGGGACAATAATGTGCTAGCTCCATGGCAGAGGGAGGGACCAAGGACTGTTCTGGGACTGGTTTCCAGCAGCAGAGCACTGTCCCCTGACCTGTTGCTTTCTCTTGTCTTTCACTGCTATGTGCAGGGGCTGCTGGGCATCCAGGACCTGGGGCAAGTCTTCTTTGAGCCCATCAAAGACAAGCAGGGCAACATCCTCATTGTCACCCTGAAGGAGGTGAAGACCAACCAGACCTTTGAGAGCGTGCGCTGGGTGCCCATCTGCAAGCTGCAGACGAGCCGCAAGTCCGTGTCCTCCCCAGAGGAGCCCACTGCCCTGGACTCACTGCTCATCTCTGTGCAGGTGCTGCTCCACAATCAGATAACAGGCTGGGGGCACAGCCGCTGGTCCTGACCGGCGCACCGAGGCTGTCCTGGCCTGTCTCACAAGGGCTGGAGAGAACCCTGCCACAAAGGCTGGCTCTCTCCAGCGGTTCCTGTCTCCCCAGGACAAGCTGGCTTACCACCAGCGGAGCAGCCATGCCCTCCCTCCGGGCCTCTACTTGGGCTACCTGAAGCTCTGCAGTGCTGTGGACCAGATCCGGGTGCTTGTGCCTGAGCAGCTCCCCAACATCCTGTGCCATGTGAAGATCCGCTCCAACCCCAACATCTCCAGGTGGGGCTTTGGGGGCAGCCAGGTCTCACTGCCTCATCCAGCCCTAGAGCATCCTTGGCTTCTGCCTCCTGCTCATGAGCTCCAGAAAGCAGCAGCATCACCTCTCAGCTCCATCCCTGCCATGTGGGCATGAAGCAAACCAAGGTCTCCTGCTGCCATTGCAGCTCCCATGTCCCTTGGAGTGGAGTGTCATGCAGGGTGGAGCAGCTGAGCCAGCATGGCTCTCATCGGGATTGCTTGTTTGAGCCACCTGAGTTGCTCCATCCAGCATGTGTCTGCATGCTGTCTTTCAGGGAGGAGTGGGAATGGCTGCAGAAGATGGCCAGCATGGAAGAACCCGTTTCTGTGGAGTCCGAGAATGAGACATCACCAAACCACTTGTTTCAGGAGCTCCAGGTGGCCATCAAGGAGCTGATGGCTCTGGTCAACATCCCATTGCAAGAGGTGCGGGTGGGAGCCGAGGTCCAGGGTCATGGGAGGTGACGTTTGCAGCCATTACTTGAGGTGTCTTTTGGACCGACTCTTGCAGGCGAAAGATTTCCGTCTGTACAGCCAAGAGGTGCTAGACTTTGGGGGTCAGGTCTCCTTCTTGCTGCTGCTGCCTCCCTCAGACGACGTCTGCACGGCGCCAGGCCAGAACAACCCCTATACTCCACAGTCTGGCTTCCTCACACTGCCACTGCAGATATTCGAGCTGGGTGAGAAGAGCGGTGACCCGCACTGCCCACACCTGTCCATGGTTCTCTTCCCTTGGGATGGGCTGTCTGTGTTCCCCCAGGACAGAGGGGGGGATGCTGGCGGCTCCTCGCTGCTCCAGGCCAGCTAGAGGAGAGCATTGCCTCCCTTCTGCATTGAGCAGGAGGGGAGGGACCCATAGGGACGTGACATTTTTCATTCCCTTCCTCTCGTTCATCCCTCAGTGCACTTCTTCACGTATGACCGAGAGTTCATCACGCAGTACTGCCAGGTGTCCGCCCTCCTGGAGCTGGAGTCCCTCCTCTCGCAGCAGAGCCTCAGGGAAGCCTTCTCCGACAGCGAGCTTTCCACCGCCAAGCAGCGGCACCAGCAGGTTCAGGAGTACATCCAGGTACCAGAGCAGTGAGCCGGGCTGGGTGTGGGATGTGGCTGGGACAGGGATGTGCTGGGAGGGCTGCAGGGTCATCCGTAGGGGACTGCGTGCTACTTTGCCACAGGGACACTGCAGTGTCAGGACTTGGTCTGGTGAGTTCTTCCTAAGTAGTTGTGTTAAAGTTGTGCTTAGAGAGCTGGATGCTTCCTCTGGGCCTCTCAGGAAAAGTGTGTGGGGATAGGCGGGGGTTCAGCTCGTTTTTTTTTGTGGTGGTGGTTTGTTCCATGAAAGGGATCCTTTCTTTCCTGCTCTGGCAGCAAATGGAGGAGATCTGGCGCGAGATGCGCTGGATGATGGATGCCCTGCAGCATGCCCGCTACAAGCAGCCCTCCTGCGGCCTGTCCCTCAACGGCTTCCTCAGCACCTCCAGCGGAGCCATGAAGGAGAAAACTCACTCCTCCTCATCCCACCTCGACTTCCTTCCCTCCCCAGCACCCTCGCCAGACAGCAGCCGTAAGCTCAGCTCCGGTAAGGACCTGGCACCGCACGGCTCCAGCACGCTGCAGACACCCAGCAGCCAACAGCCCCTCTGTGCTTCCCCCGCAGACCTGCACGGGCTCTCAGATGAGGAGGGCTCCTCCGAGGTGTTCCTGGCCACTGACAGCGACTACGACTCCAGCAGGGCGCAGAGCCCCAAGGAGCTGGACCTGGTGTCCTTGGGGCCCGAGTGCTGCGGGCGGCGGGCGGCATGCAGCCTGCGGGACAGTGCCCCTGACGTCCTGCAGAGCCACGAGCTGCAGCCCGCACCGCTGGCCCCACCGGAGCCCCGGCCGCCCCCAGAGCTCTACGACAGCGACTTCGTGCTGCCCAGCCGTCAGATCGAGCTGCTGCGCGTCACGGAGAAGCGGCAGGCCTACTGCGTGCGGACCAACAGCCTGGACTTCCCCAAGCCGCTCTGCCCGGTGACCAGGAAATCGTGTCCCGGTTCCGTCGATAGCTCCCCGACGGAGAGCAGGACCGGCGGGCACGGCGGTCAGGGCAGGCCAGGGACTGGCTCCACGCACAGCCCCGAGCACGGCCGCACACGCTCGGCCGAGTGGACTCCGAGCTTCCAGGAACCTCCAGAGCAACCCGCTGGGAAGAAGCCGGGCTCTGTCACCTTGCGGGTCTGCCCTCAGTACGAAACCGGACTCTCCAAAGAGACCAGTGTCAAGGTACCGGCGCCTGCTGAGGGCAGCGGTGTGGCTGTGCCGTGCCCAGGCAGGATGGGGGAGGATGGCACCATGTGTGGCCCTTGCCTGGCTCTGCCCTCTGCATCCTCTGCCGTGCAGGGGGTACCCTGGCTGCTGACCCGGCTCCTGTCCACCCCTGCTGCAGGATGGGGCTCCCCGCGGCCCCGGCAGCTCGGCCCACACTACTGAGAGCCCGGGCTAGGCTATAAGGAATCCAAAGGGGGATGGCGGCTAGGTGGTGCCATGCAGGGCTCCACGGCCTCTGCTCCTGTGCTCCATCCATGTGTGTGCGCCCTCAGAGGTGCAGGAAGAGCTGTGTCTCAGTGCAGGGCTCTGCCCCGCTCGGTTCCCTGCAGGCAGAGGGGCGGATGGGAGCTCTGGTAGCCGGGTTCTCTTCACCCGGCAGGGATGGTAGAAGCAGAGGGAAAGCTGACTCGCAGAATTTATTTTCCATTTAAGAAAGTCCCATAGATTTCTATGCAACTGAAGCGCAGCCCCGGGTTCCTGGCAGGCTGCCCACGTGGCATTTGAAGTTGCAGAGCTCAGGACACGCCTGCTTGACAGCGTTTTAAGATGTTCTCCTCGAAGAACTGAGTTCAAAGGAGAGGCTCCTGGCTGGCATAAATCAGCAGAGCCCCTCGATGAGCGCTCGGAGCCACAGGGTTCATGGGGGTTGAGGGCCGGGACCACCCGGCCGGGCACAGCGCCGCGGCTGGCAGGGATGTACCGAGGGATCCGCCTCTCGCCGGCGGTCTGCCCCGTGCTTCCCTCACCGCCCATCTCCCACCTCTGTCTCTCTGCAGCTACACGTCACCAGCCAGACGTCGGCCAGCGAGGTGGTGAAGCTGGTGGTGCTGCAGATGAACGACGTCTCCCACGGCGCGCTGGGTGGCTTGGCCGCCTTCTGCTACAGCGAGGAGCAGCTGGAGCACTTCGGACTGGTGTTTGCCTCCGAGGAGGGCGAGCGGTGGCTGCCCGATGAAGCGCGGCCGCTGGCCCTGCAGGCTGCCCGGCCCGAGGGACGCTTCTACGTCCGCATTAAGGAGACGTCGCCGCTGGTGCTGCAGTTCGGGCCGGCGACCACCGTATGAGCACAGCCCACGGCAGACGGCGCGTCTCTGATGCTTCCTTCTTCCACAGACACCCTCCATCAGGCGTCCGCGGGGTGGAATGGGATCGTACTGGGCTGTGTGTTTCTTGTTGGTGTTCCTTTTTTCCTTTCTTTTTTTCTTTTTTTTTTTTTTTTTTTTAACCAAAGAGACATCGAGACTCGGTTGTTCTGACTGCAGAAGGCGAGGGTGGAGCGTGAAGACCTCAGAGCTTGGGAGGAATCTTTGCAGGAATGGAATATTTGAAAGCAAACATTTTTAAGGGGAAGGCTAGGAGGGGGTTGGAAAAAGAGAGGACAAAATATTATGAGAAGAAGCAGCAATACTCCTTTTTAAATTATTTTTCCTCTTCTTTTTCTTCTTTTTTTTTTTTTTTTTTTTTTTTTCTGGACATCCTTGTCCAGGGTTGGCAGAAGGAAGACCTGCAGGATGCTGCTGGTGGAGGCTGTGGTGTTGGTGCATGGGAACAGCACCGGGATGGGAGTTTATCTCCTACCCATCCTCATTGCACTGCACCCAGAGAACAGCTCTTGCACACCCTTCTCGGAACAAAATGCTTTCTCTTCTTCTTTTCTTTCTTTTTTTATTTTTTTTCCTGAAAGAAACAAACAAAAAAAAAACCTGTGCTAGAGACACTGGAGTTGTGTAGGAGGTGTGGACACTTGTATTGTTGTAGAGGCCGAAGGAAGGCACGCCGACAGCCCCACACACGTGTATGCAGCTGTGCCCACACCACCACGCCGGGTTTGCTATGGGGCACGGCTGCAGCGCGCCCAGCACCGCCGCGGGACTGCCTTTCCTCCTCGGTTGCCGTTCTGTCCTGGTGATTGTGAGTGGCCTCTTGTATGTCCTACAGCATGACACTTAGCACCTAGGTCTCTTGTTCCCAAGGTTATTTTTCTGATCTCCTGTGGTCCATAGTAAAGGTGACTGCTGCTGACCGTGTATCGCTGTCTCCTTGTGGCCTGATGGGCAGCGCCTGCTCCTTTACCCCATATTAACCCCGTATTAACCCCCCTTTCAGTGGCTGGGCTAATCCTTCCCAGCAGTGTTTAATGGGATGCTCCCAGCCCGGCAAAGGTTCGTGTCGCTCCATGTGCACAGTGTGCATGGGAGCAGCATTAGAGGTGTCCTGTCCCAATCTGGTGCTGGAAGCCCAATGGCTGCAGGCCCAAGCCCTGCAGACATGTCACTGAATTCATGGGTACAGTCTTGCAGCCTCCATGGGGTGAGCACACAGAGCAGAGCATGGCCACATGCACCTCAGGGGACACCCAGATCTGGGCAGCAGTGAGATGGCACAGCTGGTTCCCGGCTCCTGACAGCCCTGGGCTGAGCTCAGCAGGGCAGTGTGCATCTTCTCACATTTTGCTCTTCCTGAATGTCTCGATGGGCACATCACTGTGTTTTCTTCCCAATGGATCCTGAAGCCCTTTGGTGCCCTCCTGGCCTTGCAGGGGCAAACACTGGGTTGGCCCTATGTGGGGCAGGTTCCACGCTAAAACTCACAGTGCTCAGAGCTGTGGTGCTGTAGGAGCCAGGACCAGCCTGGAGCCAGGCTCTGCATGTGGGACGTTGATGTTACACCTTTTGGGGCTGTTACGCACGCAGCAGGGTCTTGTGGTTGGAACACAGTACCAGGGCATGGTGGATTCTGGCACTCAAAGCCACATGGGGGCAGGTGGGGTAAACGTTCTGCCTTCAGTTGATCTAGAGAAAAGGTCCCCCTGCTCAGTGCTAATGGCACAGGTGACACCAACTCAGCAAGCCACTTTCCAGTGGGTTCCAATTCCATATTTGTTCTTTCATGTGTGCCATGGAAGCAGGTCCTCAGAGCACCAGTCCTCAGCTCTGCTTCCTCCCACTACTGGGAAGTGCTGGAGCTGGGAGAAGCATCAATTTTTTGTTCATCACAACCCCTTTTTTCTGGTATTTCAACAAAAGAAGGATGCTGAATTGCAGGAGGGATCCAGGGGCCTGTTGTATATCAGTGTCACGAGGTGCAGATGTCCCTGTCCCAACAGTGCCCTTGTCCCCAGCATACCCACCATGGGCTGCATGTGTCCCAGAACAAGTGCTGCACCCAGCAAGATCAGCACTCACCTCCGTGCCCCAAGCCCAGGACTGCTCCATGCACTGTGGCCATCGGCTGCCATCCCCTCTGGCATCATGCACATGTACACAGACCTCACGCAGCCCTGTGTCCCATTGGGGGCCTTAAACATCTTAGATACCCTTAAGCATCTCCTCCAGGTGAGGGCTGATGTGAGCAATACTCCTTGGGGTGAGAAGGGCAGCAAAGTGCTGGGGGGTCACCAGCAGCTCACCGAGCACCAACCTGGACCCAGGAGAAGTGTTCCGCTGGCTCAGCTGCTGCTGTTCAGCCAGCACATTGTGTGCTCTGAGATTTCCCTGAGAGCAGCTGGGTGCTCCCGTCCTGGACACCCCGAGCACCAAAAGGTGATGCTGCAGAACGCTTTGTGCTTGGTGAGGGTGCCTGCATCCCTATCCACTCCTGTCATCAGCAGCAGTTGCAAGCAGATCAGCGCAGGCAGAGGGTTGGCCAGGTTGGCGGCCAGGTTGGCAGCCAGGCTTTCTCTTCTGCTTTGAGGTAGACCCAAGTCCAGGAGCTCAGCAGGAGAAAACTGGCGCCATTCCACAAAGGCAAATGGGGCTGTATTAATTCAGAGTGCCAGGAGAGACATCACCGCACGGTGCCTTGCTTGCATTGCACAGATTCATAGAAGTAAACCTGAAATGTGACAGTCTGAATTTCCGTCCCCCCCAAATCAGGAGCTTGTTGGCACCAGTTCTGAGGCATCTGTGTTTCTTTTCTCCCATCCAAGGGGGAGTTGCTCAAACAAATCCAGCTTTATTTTTCCCAAGGTTTGGCTCTCTGAGGCTGAGACGTGGGGTTTTTGTTGTTGTTTGCTTTGGGTTTCTTTTCCTCGGGACGCTTCTCTCTTGTGTTCCCACTGAGGAATTTCTTGCCTTAGTTCTGGTTTCTGGGGAAGGCTGAGGAGTTTCCCTTTCTGTTAAGGCAGCTGCAATGTCCGCAGACAGGAGATGCTCTCAGCCCACCCCAAGACATGCTGCAGCAGAGGAAGCCTTCCTTCCAGCTGCCTCAAACAGGAGGCGAGAAAACGAGCAAGAGCCACACCAGCACCTGAAAGGAGTGGGGCAGATCCAGGGCTGGTCTGGCACTGCGCGATGACGAACTTCATTATTGCTCTATCAGCTGCAGGAACTCTGTGCAATTCCTGTTGCAGCCACTGCTTACCCAGGTAATAAATAGAACCGTGATGTCACGGAACTGTGCGGTGCTCGGATGGGTGCCGGGGAGCCGAGGGCTGCTCAGTGCCCACACTTTCCATCCTGGCACAGATGCTCACAAGGACAGAGCCTGGCGTTCCTGGACAGGCCGGGTTTCTGAGGGAAGCCACACGCCGCCGAGCACTGCACACTGTGGGCAAAGCCACTTCCCATGGGCAGCTGAGCTGGACAACGCCAGTTTTACACCGAGATTGTAATTTCCCAACCACAGAGACGCTTGGGAGGGTGGAGAAAGGAGTCCTGTGGTGGGAAGCCCCGGCTGCTTCGGTGCATCTGGGATTCCTGGCCTGAGGTTCCCCAACACCACCCGAGGGCTGGGCAGC